TGTCTCATTCTCTCACTTGCCTTGGTTCTTTTTGAGCTTAGCTGCCCTCAGGGATTTCTTTATGTAAGGTACCCTCTCCATCTGCTTCATTTAGCATGGACCCAAACGGACCACTTTCCCCCTTCTCCTCTCCCCCCCTTCTCCCCCAACTCCTCTCTTTCTCTGCTATTTATTTGGAAACTGCCTCCCCTTAACTCCCTTCATCTGAAGAAGTGGGTAGTGTTCGCTTAGTTCGAATTAGGTAAACCTCATTCTACGAGGACTAAGCCTAGTTCGAACTTACTAGTTCGAATTAAGGGGTGTGTAGCCCCTTAATTCGAAAAGGGGAGAGTTACATTAAACAGAGTATTTTGTGCAATTTTCCCATTTCCCTTGTTCATTGCTTATCTGAATTTCAGCATCTGAAGATTTTCATTGCATCCAAACCTGTTATCTAAAAGTCAGCTCATCTCTAATTTCAGCACATGATATGCTGCTGTGAACCCAGGTAGACTATGCGATGAAGCAGGATATCAGACAAAACCCATCAAAACAAACAGATAGCAGACACAGTCTGTTCAAAGTCTATCTGACAGCAATGACAGGCATTTCTTTCCTGCATGTGACTCAACAAAATAGTGTAAATATACATGAGATACCCATAAAGAGATCCCCCCATAATAAGCTTTCTTTCCTTAGAAGACCTAGTGCCTCACACCTGTAACTAAGCTATTCTAAAAAGCATCCTTCTCGGTTTTATCAAGGAATATTATTGTGCCCTGCTTGGAATCTGCAGCCCTGCCTCTGGTCTTAGTTCTCAGCCTCTTCTGGGCTACAGATATGTGTGTCCCTGCTCTAGGGCTTTCTCCTTGGAGACTGTTACCTCGGAAAAAGAATGAATGACTCCACAGAACTGCTAAAGTCCAACAAAGTCAACTAATAGTTGGCCATCTTCAGTATCTTCAGCACCATCTATAGGCCTGTTTACATTTCAGCCCTTTGTGTGGTCTTCAAAAAAGAACTTGTCCCCTTCTTAGGGCTTTTGCCATTTCACCAGTGGGGAGAACCCAAGCCCACCCACTATTCTGCATCCCAACCCAAAGACCCTACAAATAGCAGCCACATACTGCTTTTTTAAAAATTGCTGCTACTGCATTCCCTGGACTGCTCCTTAATCTGTACCATCATGTGCATTTGTTATATTAGGGTATGTCTACACTAGCCCTGTAGTTCGAACTAGGGAGTCCTGGAATGTTACAGGAGGAGTAACAGGTAATTTGAACTAAGGACTTAGTTCAAATTACCGTTTAACTGCCGCGTGTAGCCGCGGGCAGTTAGTCTGGACTAGTGGCATTTCAAAATGGTGACCGGATGGGAACATGCAAATAAAGCCCAGGATATTTAAATCCCGGGCTTCATTTGCAAGTTTGAATGCCTACATTAGCCTCCCTAGTTCGAACCAGGGGGCTAGTGTAGACATACCCTTAGAGTTTTAGTCGTGGAGTTCTCTGACTGTTCCTAATTTGTGCAGAGCCTTCCCAGGCTCCTTTCCTGGAGAGGTCCTCTGTTTTATTCTTTCTTGTCCCAGCCATGAACTGAGCTGATCAGGCCTAGCTCTTTTTTTAAAGGGAGCTAGCTGTGTTCTTATTAGTGGCTTCACTGCAACCTTCCTAGGCAATCCTGGAGGACACACCTTTACTGCTGCATTTCAAGGTAGGACTATGAGGCTTCCCATAGGAGCCCATCACCGTTAATTATTGCAGATAGTATTGTTTCTTTCCTTTCCAAATGTCTTAAATGTTATAAAAAAATCAACTTCACCTGAGTCCCTAAATTATTTTTATGTACTTACAAACAAAATCTGTTTTCCTGATTAAAAAAATTCTCAGCTATTAGCTTAAAATTTGCTTTTCTCAATTATGTGAATGTACAAAATATTGGTCTCATGAATAGTTGGAAAAGCAAATAAAAATTAATGAAAATATAATCATGGTGAAATTCTGTTTAGAAGTCACTGAAATGTTTGCAAATATTTTTCTCGCTCTTCATCAGCTTCACACAATATTTTCTATATTTGCAAAGTAAGAGTATACCTTTCTGTGTTTCAGATAACTCATCTATCTATTAATCAGAGGTACTTAGATGGCCCTACCATTGTAGTACCTGCCTGACTTGGAATTTGAATGTATTAATCCTTAAAACATCCCTTTGAGGGATATAAAATGAAGTAGAGTAATGAGACTTTGTAAAAACATAGAACAGAAAATGTATGGACCGCTGCACTATAGAATGTAATAAGTAATTCTTATCCTCATTGTGGCAAGGTAAAGCAGATAAAGTGAAGGTGCTATACCAAGTCATGGTAAGAAAACCAGGGAAGAGATCACTTGGGAAATCTAAGCCCTAAAGTTGTCTCATTCTCTCACTTGCCTTGGTTCTTTTTGAGCTTAGCTGCCCTCAGGGATTTCTTTATGTAAGGTACCCTCTCCATCTGCTTCATTTAGCATGGACCCAAACGGACCACTTTCCCCCTTCTCCTCTCCCCCCCTTCTCCCCCAACTCCTCTCTTTCTCTGCTATTTATTTGGAAACTGCCTCCCCTTAACTCCCTTCATCTGAAGAAGTGGGTAGTGTTCGCTTAGTTCGAATTAGGTAAACCTCATTCTACGAGGACTAAGCCTAGTTCGAACTTACTAGTTCGAATTAAGGGGTGTGTAGCCCCTTAATTCGAACTAGTGGGAGGCTAGCCCTTCCCAGCTTTCCCTGGTGGCCACTCTGGTCAACACCAGGGAAACTCGTATGCCCCCCTCCCGGCCCCGGAGCCCTTAAAGGGGCACGGGCTGGCTAAAGTGCCCGTGTCAGGTGCAAGCCTGCCAGCACCCAGCCAGCAGACCCTGCACCTGGCACGGATCGAGCCACCCACCCGATGCCCCCCCGCCCTCCCCCTCTTCCCAGGATCAGGCTGGCGGCTCCCGGGAGCTTGCCCGGGACCGCAAGAAGCGGGCACCCGCCTGA